AATTTAGAATTGGAGAGAGAGAGTTAATATAATGGCCAAGACTTTAGTCTGTAGAGATTCTCAAGTCATCCAGGTCATGGTTGTCCCAAGGGTGCTTTTTCAGGAGGCAACTGGACTTCCTTTGTTTTTTCTTTGAAGACGTTTTGCTTCTCATCCAAGAAATTTCTTCAGCTCAGACTGGATGGTGGGGAATAGAAAGATTTATATTCCTTGCAGACATCTGGTCATTTGTATCCTTTTTAGAGGGTCATTGAAGCACTTGGAGGTTTATCTGTGTCCTCAAGGACACAACCAAGGCTTTGTGTCCTCAAAATTTTGGAATTCTTCCATCTTCACTATGAGTAGCTTTCAGATTCCTCCTGTCTCATTGTGTAAGGATGTAAGTGCATCACTTTTAAACATGTTTTCAGTATGCTACTAAAGTATAAATATTCTCTTGAGAGGTACAGCATTGTTGAAACTAAGACTTTTGCTTGGTCATAAGCAAGCTATGCTTTCTCTTCCATCGCATGGAGAAAAAGAATTCTAAACTTGTCTTGCACAATTGTTAAGGTCTGTCAATGGTCTGGTGCAGCTTTACTTGAGAGAAGGAACTGTGTGAAACCTGTTGGTTTTGTCTTTAAAAAAAAGAAAAGAAAAATTCTCCCCCATGTCTGCCTTCGATAATTGACTTCCTTACAAAATCTTTGTTTTGTAGGTATTCCTCCTGATCAGCAGCGTCTGATCTTTGCGGGAAAGCAGCTGGAAGATGGACGCACACTCTCAGACTACAATATCCAGAAAGGTATGGCTCTGATGACCCATCTCTTGCTCTCCTCAATTTGGAAAAGCTCATCAGTTAACCTTGGTTTATTAAATGTCAGAAACACGCATACAAATCAGAACCAAATTCAAGACAGCCTAGAAAGAGGATACCACTTTTGCAGCTAGTAGAAAAGAGGGGGCTTTTATTTTTTATTTAAACATTTTGAGGCCATTACAATCCTGATTTTGTCCCCAAAGGATGAATATAAAAATGAATTTGCTACTCAGTAACAAACATCTCACCTCTGACTATGTAGACTCTAAGATAAAATCTGCTGTTGAGGTGGGCTAAATCTTCCACCAACTTGATTAACATTCAAGAATAATGTTGCTTATTGATGATGATTTTGAGTTAGATTACGGGTAGGATAAATGGATACCTCCCAATGACCTTGCTGTGTTTTCTCCTGAGAATATTTAAATATTACTTTTTTCCACGTGGTACTCGTTATCGCCAACATAGTGCAATGGTAACTGGCAAGACTGAAAGATAACAGAGAACATCCTGCTGTGGCAGGCAGTTTGGCTAGCGATTGCAGTGTTTGTCCAGCCAGCTGTGATTCACCATCAATCTCCAAGCTCTCTGCCAGAAAAAGATCCTCTCTGGCTCTGGATACTTTGCAGAGCTTAATATGGAAGATGGAATGATTGAAGGTCATTTTTTGTTCCATGTTCCTGGGGGGTTCCAGTTTCTCGTTCTGGGTTCTAGAACAGCAGATCCCAACTCTCCCCTTTACCAAAGCTTCTGCAAACCCTGGTCCGTGCTTGTTAATCTTGTTTCTATTTTTCTCCCCACCAAAGAGTCCACCCTTCACTTGGTGCTGCGTCTCCGTGGAGGAATCATTGAGCCTTCACTCCGCCAGCTGGCTCAGAAGTATAACTGCGACAAGATGATCTGCCGCAAGTATGTCCCATGGAGTGTGAGCGGTTCCAGGAAAATGGGGGTGCAGGCTCTTAAGACTGGACTGTAGGATTTTGGCCACACCAGTTTAGGGAATGATAATCCCACACATCTAGGGGACTTGGGAAATGCTTGGCTTATGATAGGGAACTTCAGTAATATCAACCGAGATGGAAAATTACGTATACTCTTCGATTTACAACTCAATCTCATATTTTTTGCAGTGGTCTTTAAGCAAATCATTTTACTCAATGAGTGGTGGGTTGTTTTTTGTTTTTTGTTTTTTGCTGGAAAACATAATCCTGTGACTTGGTGCTGTGGCTGTCGTAAGTTCAAAATCGGATATTGAGTAGCTTTTTGGGGAGGTTTGACATGACTGGATGGTCGCAAGTCAAGGACTGTCTGCCTTTTTACAGCTTAATTGCAATAGCTGTGACTAAAAGACTGAAAGGCAGTCATTTTACTGCGTTTTGCTTCAGGTTCTGGACAACATCAGTAAAATAATTTAATTTCAATCTTTATTACAGTCAGAGAGAAACACAAGTCAGTAAAATATATCATCAGGTTATGTTTATCCCATTTTTGTATCTTTTGGCTTTGCCAAAAGATGTATAACATTATACAATCCAAGCTTAATTTCTTGCTCTTGATAGCGGGCAGAAGTTGCTCTCTGGAAGATTCTCCTGGGGAATGTGAACAATGAGGCACCCTGTTGTTTATTTCCAGCATTTGATTCTTGGTGGTAGATTGTAGGGGTTGCACTAAGCATTTCAAATTCAAAATGCCCCATTTTAGAACTTTTCCTTTAGAGTTGCTGGGAGTTATACTGCAGCATATAAATCTCTTCTACTCTTCCTCCTCCTCACTTCCAGAAATGGTCTGAAGTTGAGATGGTTTCGACTTTATTTCAAGTTTGAAACAAAGACCTTTGGGGCTTGGGCAGTTCCTGGAAGATTGGTACAATGCTGGAATATTTCCAGCGAGGTCCAGATAAGCCATTTCAGACTTAATTCGAAAAGAACTACTGGCAGGTTATGTTTGAACACAAACTTTTCATTACGTATTGTCATGCAATAAATAGAGATGGTATGCATTTAGGACAGGCATGCAGAAACGGGGGGGGGGGGAATCTTACTGTATTTTAGACTTCATTTTCTCTCCGGTCTGGCCAGATAGTCCTGGGTGAGCAGCTTGGGTCCAGCACGAGTGGGAGGACCGCAGTTTGCTTTAACTTTAGTTTGAAAGTGTGGGTCCCTCTCTTAAGAACATTTCATTGGTTCATCTGTGTCACATCAAGGCAGGAGCGGTTTCTGCAACCACAGTTCAAAACTGGAATGTTCAGATGCTTAAGCCTGTGCCAGGGAGACCAGTAACAAGACTCCATCTTGTTTTTTCCCCCCCTCCTTTTTAGGTGCTATGCCCGCCTGCACCCCCGTGCTGTGAATTGTCGTAAGAAGAAATGTGGCCACACCAACAACCTGCGCCCAAAGAAGAAGGTCAAGTAAAGAGCACGGCAGGAACTGCCCCCATCCCTTCTCCTAGTACTTGGCTGTGGTGTTCCTGCGGTAACGTGATTCATCTTCCCTCCTCTCGCCGGAGGCCATTTTTTCCCTGCCAGTTGGAATAAAAACATTCAGTGCACCAAATTTGTCTCTTCCTCTTTCATTTTATGCCTGAATTGCAGCTATATGTTATCTGCAAGGCCTCCAGATCAGGGGTGGGTTCTACATTTTTTTTACTGGTTCTGTGGGTGTGGCTTATTTTGTGGGCATGGCTTGATGGTCATGTGACCATTCTTTAGGATTTAGCAGAGATACTGCTTTTAACTACTTGCAGAGCTGTACCGGTCTACTCATTTGTTTTTGGAGGCACCGGTCTACTCATTTGTCTTTCGAGTGCCCTGGTCTACCACCACACTGCCTTTTAACACTGATCAGCTGTAGGGCGGCCCTTTGAAGCCCAAGGCAAGAGTTTAAACAGTTTTTTTCCTTCTAGCCAATCAGCTGGGACTCGGGAGGCAGCGAATAGATTGGGGGCAGGGCCAAATAAAAGGTAAGAATAATGGGGGGGCAGGGCAGGAGGGCCCAGCTCCCGAACAAAGAGAACCTGTTCGGTGACGTCATATCGTCATCGCTACCGGCTCAGCCAAACCAGGAGGAATCCACCACTGCTCCAGATGATAAAAGGCAGGGGTCTCCAAACTTGGCAACTTTAAAACATGTGGACTTCAACTCCCAGAATTCCTCAGCCAGCAAAGCTGGGAATTCTGGGAGTTGAAGTCCACAAGTTTTAAAAGTTGCCAAGTTAGGAGACCCCTGGTAAAACAAGGAGTCCTTTACTTATGACCAGTTATTTAGCAACTGTTTTAAGTTACAGCAGACCTCCCCGGACCTACTTGTGGCCCAGATTCAAAGTTACAACGGCTCTCCCCTCCACCACCTCCCCCCCCATCACATGATCACATTTTAGGCAGTGGGCAACTAGCCCTCATTGATGGTTATTTGCAGCATTTGGTGGTTGCATAACTGCAATTTATAACATTTCTAGTACACTGATGATGTTACCTAGTTGGGTAATGAAACGTCTGCAAGAAAACCAGAGAGCACTAAGAACCCCACAGGAAACTGCTATTCAAGCAGAATTGGGGGGTAAGGAGTGTGGGGTGCCTCAGCGGGGTGGGGGAGGCCCTTGAGGCCTGGTAGAGGTATCGGGTGAGAGTCTCTCCTCAAAGGCTGAAAATTCTTAGATTTTGGCAGGGAGATTTTTAATTTCTGAGTTGAGTTTCTGAGGGTCTGCTTAATGACCACAACCGGGAGTGCTGGGATTGAAGTCATAGAGCAGATTAATCACATGAACCATCATGTGACATCTCCCTTAACAACCATTTCACTCAATGACAGATTCCGGCCCCCAATTGTGATTGTAAGTCGAGGATTACCTGTGGGTAGATAAAAATGCCAAAATACCCAAACATCTGGCCAGTTATACAAATAATAGTAGTAGCAACATAATATAATAAAATGATGAATATCGGGATGCTTTTATTGAATGGGTGGAGCAGCTAAAGTGCTAACTAGCCATATTTCAAGTTTGCTAGCCATCTCCAGCCAGCCTGTTCGGAAAAGCCAAATCAATGATTTGTCATGAGTCCGCCTGGCCGGAAGGGGGCAGCACAAGACCCTGTTGCAAAGATTCGGGCTCATATGGGTTACCCGGAAGGAAGAGCAGGTTGTCTTAAGAAGAACGTAGACTTGAAGAACAGAAGAGCCCATCACTCGTTTGTTTAGTCGCTTTCAAGATCGTTTATTCCTTCATTCCCAGGGAAGACAAAACTTTGTCCATAGACTCCTGGAAGGAATTGGAAGATTGAAAGCCGTGACATTGAAACAACAGTTTCAGGAAATAAAATCATTTCCTTTTGAACGCCATTCTCATTTTTTTTTGAGCAAACATCCCTTTTAAAAAGCCACGTGGACATTCCAATATGTTTCGCATCAGAACACCGTTGTGGGCGTTAAACAGTTAAGCGACCAACCTCGGCAGATGCTCAAAAGAGTTCCTTAAGGAGAGGGAGAGAAAAAAAAACACGATTTGGAGAATTCAAAATAGCCTCGTCAGTCTTTGGGGTTTGCAAAATTGTTAATGGACTCCCATGCAGAACTGGGGTAAGTAAGTTATCTCCGATTTTTAATATTTAGGGAATAACCACACAGGGCGACACTGCAGAGATGTAAGTTACACGATTTCCAAAGCTAGAACCAGAACAAGATATGCTTCGATCATATTGCAAAGTTAGGATAATTCTCTACTGTTCGATCTGGCCCATAGATCTGGCCCATATATATACACACACACACATGCCTGCAATTTTTATGCCAATCCTTCTCCCCGCTCTATGGGCCAGATCGAACAGTATATATATATATATATATGGGCAGCAGAGTGTTTGCTGGCTGCCAGAAAAAAAAGCCTAGAAACTAGTGGATTGTGATTTCACTGAACTAGGGCTGCATAAAAATCTTGGTTTACGTAGGAAGAACCTGGCTAAAGAGAAATACATACATACATACATACATACATACATACATACATACATACATACATATTTTCTTGGCCGCATACAGTGCTTCCTAAATCCTGTGAAATGGGTTCACCCTAGACTAGGACTAGGACTTGACTTGACTTGACTTGACTTGAATTATTGAATTGAATTGAATTGAATTCTTTATTGTCCAAGTGTGGTTGGACACACAAGGAATTTGTCTTTGGTGCATACGCTCTCAGTGTACATAAAGAAAAAATAAAATACATTCATTGAGAATAAAAAGATACAACACTTAGTGATAGTCAAGGTTACTAATAAGCTATCAAATCGTACTAACTAGGAAATAAAAACAATATAAATTGAAAGATACAAGCAACGTGGTTGTAGTAATAAGTGGGAAGAGATAGATACTAGTAAGGAAGAGAAGAATAATAGTAATACAGTCTTAGTAAATTATTTGACAGTGTTGTGGGAATTAGTTGTTAAGCAGAGTGATGGCATTTGGGAAAAAAACTGTTCTTGTGTCTAGTTATCTTGGTGTGCAGTGCTCTATAGCGTCGTTTTGAGGGTAGGAGTTGAAACAATTTATGTCCAGGATGTGAGGGGTCTGTAGATATTTTCACAGCCCTCTTTTTGACTCGTGCAGTATACAGGACCTCCGTGGAAGGCAGGTTGGTAGTAATTGTTTTTTTCTGCAGTTCTAATTATCCTCTGAAGTCTGTGTCTGTCTTGTTGGGTTGCAGAGCCAAACCAGACAGTTATAGAGGTGCAGATGACAGATGCAATAATTCCTCTGTAGAACTGAATCAGCAGCTCAGTTTATATAAAATCAGTTTATATAAAGATCAGTTTATATAAAACAGCACACAACATGTTCAAAGACATTCACACATATAGTCAGATCCTCATGTTTTTGGAAAGGTTGCCGAGGGTGGGGTGGATTATTTGTAGCCAGGGTTATGTCTGCTAAAAAAAAAACCTCGATCGATTGATTTGATCGCAGAGTGTTTCATTTTATGGGGTGTTTCCTGATTGACAAAGCAAGAAAGAGACCTCAGCCATTCCATACTTCTAGCAACAACTAGGCAATTTTTAGATGTGTGGCTTTCAACTTCCAGAATTCTGCAGGATGGTCAGCCGGCTGGGGAATTCTGGGAGTTGAAGTCCATGTGTCTTAAAATTGCCAAGTTTGAGAAACACCACTCTATATTTATTTGTAACTCTGCTTTAACCAGAGTGGTTTGATCCGCTTGCTGCAATGGTGAACTAATGTGGGTTGTTGAGCAGAGGCTGGAAGGGAGGCGTTATGATTAGGAGACTGGAGACTAAAACATGCAATGAACGGTCGCAGGAACTGGGCATGGCCAGTTGGCCATAGTGAAGAGAAGGACCGGGGGAGACATGATAGCAGTGTTCCAGTATTTGAGGGGCTGCCCAGAGACGAGGGGGTCAACCTATTTTCCAAAGCACCTGAAGGCCAGAGAAAGAATAATGGATGGAAACTGATCAAGGAGAGATTCAACATAGAAATAAGGAGGAACTTTCTGACAGTGAGAGCAATCAACCAATGGAACCGAAGTTGCCTTCGGAAGTTGTGGGAGCCCCATCACTGGAGGCTTTCAAGATGAGATTGGAGTGCCATTTGTCAGAAATGGTGTAGGGTTTCCTGCTTGGGGGGGGGGGGTTGGACTAGATGACCTACAAGATCCCTTCCAACTCTGTTAATCTGTAATCTGGTTTGTGTGTATGTGTGATTTGCAATGGAGGCCCCTTCACTAGAACCAGAAGGTTCCAGCGGCTGCATGACGACTGCTGTAAAATAAATAAGTAAATATAACAAGAAAACAGGTAGACGAGAAAAACAGGAAACCATGGGAAAAGCTGGAGAAGACAGCAGCACTCAGCTAACCCACCAATGCCCACAAGGGGGCGCAGGAGGACTAGAAGTGAAGCCTTGGGGAAGTTGAGAAAGAGATGGGAGAAATACTGCAGGGGATTTTTGGGGTGGGGGGTCCCATCTAAAGATGTTAGGACTACAGGCCCCATCATTCACAGTCAACACAGTCCCCAACACTCTGAAGAGTACTGAAGGATTTAGACCTGGATACAGCTACTCCTCGATTTAACAACCACAACTGAGGCCAGTGAGATATTTATTAAGTGAGCTTGGCCCCATTTTACGACCTTTCTTGCCACAGTTGTTAAGTGAATCCCTGCAGTTGTGAAATTAGTAACACGATTGTTAAGTGAATGCAGCTCCCCCACTGACTTTGCTTATCAGAAGGTCACAAAAGACCCCAGGATGCTGCAACCGTCTGTCTTGCATTCACAACTTCTGGAGGCAAGTTGTTCCACTGATTAATTGTTCTAATAGTAGTAACTGTGAGAGGGATCTTGGAGCCCTAGTGGACAACCATTTAGATATGAGCCAGCCGTGTGCAGCAGTTGCCAAAAAAGCCAAGACAGTTCTAGGCTGCATAAACAGAGGGATAGAATCAAGATCACGTGAAGTGTTAATACCACTTTATAATGTCTTGGTAAGGCCACACTTGGAATATGGCATCCAGTTTTGGTCACCACGATGTAAAAAAGATGTGGAGACTCTAGAAAGAGTGCAGAGAAGAGCAACAAAGATGATTATTCAATTTTTTTAATTTTTTTTCAATTTAATTCAATTTATATGCCGCCCCTCTCCGAAAACTCAGATTAGGGGACTAAAAGCTAAAATATAACAAGAATGGTTGCTGGAATTAGTTAGGTCTAGTTTAATGGAAAGAAGGATTAGGGGTGACATGAAAGCAGTGTTCCAATATCTCAGGGGTTGCCACAAAGAAGAGGGAGTCAAACTATTCTCCAAAGCACCTGAGTGCAGGACAAGAAGCAATGGGTGGAAACTAATCAAGGAGAGAAGCAACCTAGAACTAAGGAGGAATTTCCTGACAGTTAGAACAATTAATCAGTGGAACAACTTGCCTCCAGAAGTTGTAAATGCTCCAACACTGGAAGTTTTTAAGAAGAGACTGGACAGTCACTTGTCTGAAATGGTGTAGGATCTCCTGCCTGAGCAGGAGGTTGGACTAGAAGACCTCTGCGGTCCCTTCCAACTTTGCTATTCTAGACTATTCTAGTCTTCCTATTCCTATTATTTCTATTTCTATTCTAAGTAACTGGTCGTAAGTTGAGGACTAGCTGTATTGGAGCTGCCCAGAGTAGCCTCAATAGTGAGATGGGTGGCATATAAAAGTATTAAATAAATAAATAAATAAAGCAGAATATTTCTGGAGAATGAAGACGCGCGACCGAGCAGCTGGCCGGTGTGAGGGGGGGGCCCATGGCCGGAGTGGGGGCCCTCGCAAGATTGCTGCAATTTGGCCCTCATGCCGCTGTACAGTCTGTTGAGGGGAAGCGTGCTTCCTCCTTCCCCCCCCAAGTGCCAAGTTAAAAGATGCAGCTGTTGTGTACTGTATATATGCAAGTGTGTGTATGTGCGAGAGTGTGAGAGAGTGAATGAGGGTGTGCATTTTGGAGAAGGAGTATGCAAAGAGAAGGCGAAACTCGTCAGCGCCACTTGCATAGTCCAAGACCCCAAAAGTTGGCTCCGATTGGGAGGCCCCGGCTTGACACAAACACACCGTTGTGTTGCCAGGATTTGCCGTTAAGGGCAAGGATTGAAAGCGGTTTCATGGACGTCTCTTATGGAGGGAGAAATTGGATTTTGGCAAAGGAGGACCTTAGGCGAAGCAGCCAAACCAGACACAGTCTGTCCAAGCACACTTTTGAGGCGGGGACAGATCAATGTCACACTCAATTGCACGCCCACGTGCGAGAGCAAAGAAGCCCATCGCTTTTTTGATGCAGGGTGGACACACCAAAAAGCCCCTTTTTTGTTCTAATTGCAAACTGTTGTTTTGATCAAAGCGGCTTCAGGGATTTGAAAGAACAGGCAGATCTGGCAGATCTGGAAAAAAAACAACAAACCGCTGCTTCTCATTTTCCGAAAATGGAAAAAATGGAAAGAAAAGCACGTACGAATTCTCTTGTTGAGGGTTCAAAGTCCGCCAGCGGATGCAAGGTGATTTATAGCCCGTGTTTATAACTCCTACTCTTTTATTCCCACTCTTTGGGCGGTCTAAGGTAGACTGCCCTGAGACATGGGGGCTCTACTTCCTACCTTGAATAAACCTCTTTTTTCCTCCCTAAAAGTTGGCTAGTTCCTCCTTCCGTTTTCTTTTTAAGCGCCAATTAAATAGACATTTATTTTATTTATTATTAAACTTGCTCGCCGTCTACTTCGCCTCGGGAAATGACTCTTTTATCAGGTAGAGGTAGTCTTCAAAATTTCTGTTGCTAAGGGAAACATTTGTTTTCTCCCCATTTTACGACCTTTCTTTGCCACAGTTGTTAAGTGAATCACTGCAGTTGTTAAGTTAGTAAAAGGGTTGTTAAGTGAATCTGCTTTCCCCATGGACTTTGCTTGTCAGAATGTCGCAAAAGGGGATCCCGGGACACTGCCACCATCATAAATATGAGTCAGTTGCCAAGTGTCTGAATTTTGATCACCTGACCATGGGGATGCTGCAACGATCATAAGTGTGAAAAACGGTCAGAAGTTGCTTTTTTCAATGCTGTTGTAAGTTTGAATGGTCACTAAATGAACTGTTGTAAATCAAGGATTACCTGTATGAGCGAATGGGTAGGTATAAAACTTGAGGGATTGATGCTAATTTAGGGTGATATTCGCCCCACTCTGCTCCCCTCAAAGAAGTCGTTCTTGTAACCCCAACATTGAGCAAAAGGCATTATACGTAGTCCTCGTCTTATAACAGTTCATTTAGTGACCATTTGAAGTTACAACGGCACTGAAAACGGTGACTTATGACCATTTTTCACACTTGTGACCGTTGCAGCATCCTCATGGTGACATGATATACATTTGGATGCTTGATAACTGACTCACATTTATGAACGTTGCAGTGTCCTGTCCAGTGTCCAGTCTCGTGATCCCCTTTTGCGACCTCCTTGCAAGCAAAATCAACGGGGAAGCCAGATTCACTTCACAACCGGGTTACTAATTTAACAATCTCAGTGATTCGCTTAACAAATGTGGTGAGAAAAGTCGTAAAATGGAGCAAAACTCACTTGACAGATTCCTCCCTTAATATCATAAATTTTGGGCTCAATTGTGGGTCGTACATCGAGGACTACCTATATGTCTTTTATTTCCTCTGACAAGGAATCCTATCTCCCCTTTTCCGCTGCAGGATGGATGTGCAAAGTTTGGTGCGGCGTTTTTACGCCCTGCAGACCGAGCGGGTGGAAGCTTACCACCTCTTGGAGGAGTAAGTATTTGAACACGTTATTTTTCTCTAAAACCTTTGCCAGTCCTCCCTCCGTTTTGCATTCTGAGGATGTGAGGCGGGGGCTTTGGTCACGTCAAATACAGGTAGTCCTCGACCTAAGATCACAGTTGAGCCCAAAATTTCTATTGCTGAGACCGTCGGTAAGTGAGTTTTGCCCCTTTCCTGCCGCAGTTGTTAAGTGAATCACCACGGTTGTCAAGTTAGTAACACGGTTGTTAAGTGAATCTGGCTTCCCCATTGACTTTCCTTATCAAAAGGTCACGAAAAGGGATAGTGTGACGCCAGGACGCTGCAACCGTCATAAATCTGAGTCAGTTGCCAAGCATCCGAACTGTGATCAGTGGTCATGGGGATATTACAACAGTCGTAAGTGTGAAAAACGGTCATAAGTCATTTTTTTTCAGTGCCGTTGTAAGTTCGAACGGTCACAAAATGAGCTGTTGTAAGTTGAGGGACCTGTATGAGGGAGAGGTGGTTTGATGGAAAATCTGAGGACCCAACTTTATAAACAAGGGATGAGCCAGTCACATGTGCCAATTATTTCCTGGAGAGTATTTGTAAATCAGGGTTGAAATGAGGAGAGCTTGGTGCTCTCTGACCTTGGTTGTTTTCTTGCAGACGTTTCATGACCCAACTACGTAACATCATCAGCGCTAGTAAGGAAGGGGGTTTCTGCAAGAAAACAACCAAGCTCAGAGCACACCAAGGCTCCCTCAACGTTATTTGCCTCAAAATGACTACATGAAACGATTAAAAGTGATGGATCTCTGGAGATTCTCCAGAAGAGACCGGACAGCCATTTGTCTGGAATAGTATAGGGCCCGTGATGGTGAACCTATGGCACGCGTGCCACAGGTGGCATGCAGAGCCATATCTATGGGCACGCGAGCATTGCCTTAACTCAGCTCCAGCACGCGTGTGCGTGCTGGCCAGCTGATTTTTGGGCCTTCTAGGCCCACTGGAAGTCAGGAAACGGAAGTCCGGAGAGCCTCCGGTGGGGGGTGAGGAAGGCCATTTTCACCCTCCCCAGGCTCCAAGAAAGCCTCTGGAGCTTGGGGAGGGCGAAAAACAGGCCTTCCAAGAGTTGGGAAACGGGCCATTTCCGGCCTGTGGAGGGCCTCCGGGGGGGTGCGGGGGAGACTATTTTTGCCCTCCCCAGGCTCCAAGAAAACTTCTGGAACCTGGGGAGTGTGAAAAACGGGCCTACCAGGCCCACTGGTAACCTTTTTGCCATCGTGTGCCAAAAGCGGGAAGAATACGGTGGGGGGGGTCGCGCACGCATACGTGTGGGGGAGGCATGCGTGTGGGCATTATGAGTGTGGGCATGCAGGCACACGACCACCCCACGCTCCCCCGCTTTTGGCACTCGCCAGCAAATAGGTTAGCCATCCCTGGTATAGGGTCTCCTGTTTGAGCAGGGGGTTGGACTAGAAGACCTCTGAGGTCCCTTCCAATCCTACGATTCTATTTTCTAAACAAAATGAGTTTAAAAAGCCTGAGTTTCCTTTGCAAAACGTCGAGTCCTACCAATGGCTTTGCATGCATAAAACGGCCTGGGAAGCGGATGGGCTGTTCCAGTCTGCTCCTCTTCCCCCCCCCCATACAACCCTTTTATTTGCACACCACTTGATTCAAGGGGGGCCCTGCAGGGGGCCTCCGCTCGACTTCCCCCCCCTTTTCACTCTGCCCCACCCCAGGCTCCCGGTGCCTGATGGAAACCAGATGAGCAAGGGGGCAGCACCCACCCAGCACCTGTGATCTATTTGCAGAGGAAAAACTCCTTGTGGGGAGCCTGGTGTGCAGATAATTTACTCCTGCGGACGGGGAGTCCAATCCCCGGCACAGCAAACCCCCCACAAGCAGGACTTCGGGTGTGCCAGGAGATGGGGCGATAACCCTCTCTAGGGAAGGGTGTCCCTCTCGCCATTGACAAATCAATGAAGCCTTCCCGAAAACCCAGCAGGGGAGGAAATAACCTTTATCCCAAGGTTAATCCAAAGGAGGGAGGGAGGGCCTTGGTCTGAATGGGCATCCAGGATCTTTAATGGGAAGCCCAGCCTGTCAATCCGTGTATTTTATAGGGAGTTCCCAAGACCCAAGCCAAGTTTGTAAAGTTGGGGAGGAGGAGGAGGAGGAGGAGGAGAAGGAAGAAGAGGAAGAAGAAGAAGGAGGAGGTGGAGGAGGAGGAGGAGAATGGAAGGAGGAGGAGGAGGAGAAGGAGGAGGAGGAGGAGGAGAAGAAGGAGAAGGAGAATGGAAGGGGGAGGAGGAGGAGGAGGAGGAGAAGGAGAAGAAGAAGGAGGAGGTGGAGGAGGAGGAGGAAAATGAAAGGGAAAGGAGAAGGAGAAGGAGAATGGAAGGGGGAGGAGGAGGACCCAGATTGTGGGTGCAATAAGCTGACTTTGTATAAATATACAAAAGTATGAAGGCTATATTGCTTAATGCATTGTAAGCTGCCCTGAGTCTCCGGAGAAGGGCGGCATATAAATCAAATAAAAAAAAAAAGTAGTGAAGGGAAAGAAGGAGGAGGAGGAGAAGGAGAGAGAAAGAGAAAGAGAAGGAGAAAGATGGGAGCGAAAGAAGAAGGTGAATACACGCAGCAGGCCAAACATCCTTGGATTGTGTCCCATCAACATAGGCAGGCCTACTACTGTGGAAGTTTTATAGCACAGGGGAGGAGGAGGAAAAAAAGAGTGAGGTCATCCAGTCTGACCCCCCCCCCTTTCCACACAGGCATAACCCTAACCCTGCATAGAGGCTGTGACATGCAATTGCTGATGCGTACAGACCTCATTGTCCCCAGAATAGACGATTCAGAGAAGAAATAAAAAGCACCCAGATCGTTAGGAGCAAGATAAGGTTAATAGTGCTGTGTTTTTCAGCCTTGGCAACTTTAAGAAGGCCTGGATGGGGAATTCTGGGAGTTGAAGTCTGCCAGAGTTAAAGTTGCGAAGGTGATGTGGGGGAGACTTTCACAGTAGAAATGGATGTGTTTTGCTTCCAGAAATCTTGGTTGTTTGGAAAATGGATCATTTTCCATTCCAAATTTCATTTGGGATGCTGTAGGGAGAGGAATTTGGGACATGGTAGCTCAGTGGCTAAGACACTGAGCTTGTTGATGGAAAGATCGGCAGTTCAGTGGTTCGAATCCCTATGCCAGGTAATGGGGTGAGCTCCCGTTACTTTTCCCAGCGCCGGCCAACTTAGCAGTTCGAAAGCACGTAAAAAATGCAAGTAGAAAAATAGGAGCCACCTTTGGTGGGAAGGAAACAGCGTTCCGTGCGCCTTTGGCATTTAGTCATGCCGGCCACATGACCATGGAGACGTCTTTGGACAGCGCTGTCTCTTCGGCTTTGAAACAGAGATGAGCACCACCCCCTAGAGTCAGGAACGACTAGCACATATGTGCGAGGGGAACCTTTACCTTTACCTTAGGGAGAGGAGGGTGGGGGGCCTTGTGGCTCATGGGTTCAAGTGGCTGACTTTAAAATTCAATTTCTTTCCCATCGGTTTCCCTCAAATCTTTGCATGTGGGCACTCTGTTCCCCATACCTGTAGGAAAATCTCTTTCTCGGTTCTTTACTAAATCTCCCCCTCCCCAAAACAGGGGTCACCAGGCCTACCTCCGAAGCGGCCCCAATTACGACTTCCTCCGCTATCGCCAGCTGGTGCACGAGATCACCCTGGCGTTCAACGGCATTTCCCAGGAGATCTTGCAGATCAAGGGGAATCTGGAGGGGGTCCACGGCCGGAGAGACCTCGTGGAGCACCTGGGCAGGATTCAGGAGAAGGAGCAGGAGAAACTCGAACTGGTGAGCAGCCCTTCCTTGCCACATGACGTGAGCCCATCCTGCTCAGTGAATTTTAAGACCCGTTTTCTTGATCCTGTTTTTCGTAACATGCTGAGGAATCTCGGAGAAATCTCTACTTTAGAAATTTACTCTTTGTTAAGGTAGGGTTGCCAGCTAGGTGGAGATTTATTATCTTGATTTCAATCTGAATGGCTGTGCTCAAGTGGGACATTACAGTAGTGGCTGAAATTGTGGAAAACTTTTAGGAAAAGTGTATTTTTGAGATTTGATGGCTAATAGCACCACTTTTTTTTTTTTGGAGTTTCAAGATAATCATATTCCACTGCTGGAATGGCCTGGAAATAGCCCAGATCTTAACCCAATTGAAAATCTATGGAGCCGACTAAAGAAACGTGTTAGTCAGAAGCGACCCAGCGATAAAACCCAGTTAATAGAAGCAATCATTCAATCTTGGTTTCACATTATAACAGCTGCAGAACTAAAAGACTTGGTTCACTCCACAGGAAGACGTTGTAAGGCCGTAATTCATGCTAAAGGTTACCCAACTAAGTATTAACTGACATGATAATTTTTGTATATCTCATTTTTTCTATGATGATAATTTTTGTATATTTTGATTTTTCCACATGTTTCACTTTTCTTCTTTATACTGTAACTGCTATTCTAATAGCAAATCCTTCATAAAAGTTATTGCAATACATTCTTGATTAAACTATCTTTCCATTGAGATATAATTTTATAGCACTACTCCAAAAAAAAGTGGTGTTACTAGCTAGTTTTAGAAAATACACTTTTCCCAAAAGGTTGCCACAATTTTGTACGGCATTCGTACGGCAACATGTCCATTAAAATATTTGTTTTTATTTTATTTTATTTTTGATTTTTTTAATCCCCCTTTTATTATTTTTAGAAAGAACTCAAGATGGCGACCATCCTTAATACTCTTTCCTCCTCTTATTTGCCCGTCAACAACAATCCTGTGAGGTGGATTGGGCTGAGAGAGAGAGAGAAAGGACCTGGCCCAAAGTCCCCAAGCCAGTTTTCATGTCTAGGGCAGAACTAGAACTCTCAGTCTCCTAGTGATTGGGCCAAAGTCACTCAGCCTTTTATCTAGGTGGGACTAGAACTCAACATTTCCTGATTTCTAGCCTAGTGATTTAGAGCCAAGGTGGAGCAGTGGTTAGAGTGCAGTAGTGCAGGCTACTTCAGCTGACTGCTAGCTGCAGTTCAGCAGATCGAATCTCGAGGCTCAGCCTTCCATCCTTCCAAGGTGGGTAAAATGAGGATCCAGATTATTGGGGGCAATATGCTGACTCTGTAAACCGCTTAGAGAGGGCTGTAAAAAGCACTATGAAGCGGTATATACAGTCAGGTCCAGAAATATTGGGACATCGACACAATTCTAACATCTTTGGCTCTATACACCACCACAATGCAAACTGCTGTACACCGTTCACCTGAGTTGGATGTACATACCCTCAAATTAAAGCTGACAGTCTGCAGTTAAAGCACATTGTGTTTGTTTCATTCCAACTCCATTGTGGTGGTGTATAGAGCCAAAGATGTTAGAATTGTGTCGGTGTCCTAATATTTCTGACTGTAATACATAATATAACACTATACTATGATAGTATAATACTGGCTATAATGCAACACATATAGCAGTATCAGAGGAGATGGGTGTGATATAAACTTAATAAATAAATAACGTAGTTCGTGTTGCTACGCTGAGCTAATTTTTTTTAACAGGATCACACCTGTTTAGGTCCAGGATGGGAGACCACTAGGAGATTCTGGAGCAATAGGATGGGAGGTATCATCCCAGTCATATCTGTGTCTTGGCTGTTGTAGGTGTGGTTTTAGCACAGTTTTTAATAATATTTTAATGTTGGCTTGTTTTCATCTTTTAATCGTTTTTTCCACCTTTTCTAATTTGTAAGCCAGCCAGAATCAGAATGTAGGGGAGATGGGCAACATAGAAATTTAATAAATAAAATAAATAAAATCGCAAACGGCTCTTATAACAATGCCAATAAAACTACACGGATGTTTGGCAATGAATTCACCTGGGGTTTTGCTCCACTTAGCAGAGATCTCACCTTTGCTCCTTCCTTTTTAGCGGGTTTTTTTTCCCTTGTTGTTATTGGTCTGCAAATTTTGGGTGTTTCCTGGAGTTGATATACACTTACAAACCAGCCTTCGAACACAGAGGGAAACGCATAACAAGGCAGGAGACTTAAATTTCCTTATTAGTCTGACGACTGTAGCCAGGGGGACTTTTTGTCAGGTTCACCTGATCCTCCAGTTGTGGCCCTTTCTTGATCGGGATTCCTTGTGCACAGTCACTCACGCCCTCGTCACCTCTCGCCTGGACTACTGCAACGCTCTCTACATGGGGCTCCCCTTGAAGGGCACCAGGAGGCTCCAACTGGTCCAGAATGCGGCGGCACGGGAGTTGTTACGGGAGCTGCTTGGCGCTCCCATACAACACCTCTCCTGCGTGAGCTGCACTGGCTCCCAGTGGTCTTCTGGGTGCGCTTCAAGGTGTTGGTTATCACCTTTAAAGCGCTCCATGGCATAGGACCTAGTTATCTTTGAGGCCACCTGCTGCTACCGACGGCCTCCCATCGACCTGTGCGCTCCCACAGAGAGGGCCTCCTCGGGGTGCCATCAGCCAAGCAATGTAGGCTGGTGACCCCCAGGGGGAGGGCCTTCTCTGTGGGGGCACCTACCCTCTGGAACCACCTGCCCCCAGAGATAAGGAGAGTCCAAACCTTGGTGCCTTCCGCTGTGCCCTTAAAACTTTCTTTTTTCAGCAAGCCGGGCTGGCCTAACACTTTTTTTAAATGTTTTTAATTGTTTTGTCATTGCTTTTAATTATGGAATCAGTTGCCCCCAGAGATAAGGAGAATCCAAGACCTCAGTGCCTTCCGCCGTGCCCTTAAAACCCACTTTTTCCAGCAAGCCGGGCTGGTTTAAGAAGAAATTTTTAAATTTTTTAAATGTTTTAATTGGTTTGTGATTTTTAAATTTTTGGGCCAAATTTATATATATTTTAATTGTTCTTAATATTTGTAGTTCATGTTCTTAATTCTGGCTGTGCACCGCCCTGAGTCCTTAGGGAGAAGGGCAGTATATAAATTGAAAAATAAATAAATAAATAAATAAATAAATAGATAAATAGATAAATAGATAGATAGATAGATAGATAGATAGATAGATAGATAGATAGATAGATAAAAATGGGGCCGAACATATATATATCTTTTTAATTGTATATTAATGTTTGTAGTTTATATTTTTACTTTGGCTGTACACTGCCCTGAGTCCTCAGGGAGAAGGGCGGTATATAAATTTGATATAAAATAAAAATAAAATAAAAAATAAATTAGTGTTTTTTTAGGGGCAGGATTTCAATTTTTTGCATGGGGGGGGGCATCTTCCAAATCTTGCACCATTATCCCTCTGTTCCCTCTAAAGAGCACTTGGTTCCTGCTGTCCCCATTTTATGCTCTGTTAGAAAGGTTCAGCCAGAAGTTGGTGCTAGCAAAGGTGATGCTGAAGAAAGGAAGAACTGAGCATTACAGCGGATCTGTTCGGTTCTAGATTAATATTTTAACCTCAAGATGATCTCCTCCAGATGTGGGGGATTTCAGCTCCCCCAGTTCACAGCCAGGCACACCTGGAGGACATCAGTTTGGGGAAATTGACTGTAGTCAGCTGTCTTCACACACACGGTGCTTAGAAACTCGGTTCCTCTATTTAGGCAATGCAGTAAGCTTGGCTTTGCGGTTTTACTCCTTGGTGTGATGTCCAAACCAAACCCAGTTTATTGGATTGCAGCTAGTCCTGGATTTAGGACCCTTTGTTAGGGACTGTACAAAGTTACACCAACGCTGAAAAATGGGAATTACAAACAGCCCTCATGCTTATGACGGTTGCAGCATCTAAATTCAAGCACTTGTCAACCGGCATGTATTTATGATAGTTACAGGGGGGTCAATGATCATCGTTTTGCGACCTTTCTAGTTGCTTCCAACAAGCAAAGTCAGTGGAGAAAGTGGATCCGCTTAATGACTGCATGATTTACTTAACAGCCATGGTGATTCGCGTAACAATCATGGCAAAAATGGTGGTAAAATTGGATGTGACCAGTGGTGGGCTACTACCAGTTCGGGCAAACTGGTAGTTTGCCCGCCCCGGAGCTATGCCGTCCTATTTAGCCCCGCCCACCCCGCCCCTCCCAGGAGTCCCCACACAGCCCATTTTGGGTGTAGATAAGTGCAGGGCATGTGCAGAGGCTCGGGGAGGACGAAAAACAGACCTACCAGAAGTTCGGGAAGGCCAGAAATGGGCCTGTTTCCGGCCTCCAAAGGGCCTCAGGTGCCTGGGGAGGCCATTTTCGCCCTCCCGGAGGCTCAAGGAAAGCCTCCGGAGCCTGGGGAGGGCAAAAACATCCTATTTAGCCACGTTTTTTAAACTGCGCACATGCATGCAAGCACGTGTGCGAGCAAAGCACATACGCAGAAGGCTGCACGCATGCGCGGAAGGTGCGCGCACACTCACATTTTTGGTGCTGGGGCAAACCGGTTGTTAATTCATGTGCCGCCCACCTCTGGATGTGACTCACTTAACAGGTGCTTTGCTTAGTGATGATAATTGTGGTCCCAATTGTGGTCATATATCAAGGACTACCGGTAGGTTATTGTTCAGGTTATTGCATAAAACCAGAGAATGCATTAATTCAACGGTTTGGTTAAGCCTTCCATGAATTCATCTGATGGTGAAGGAAGAGGGGGAATAATCAATTTTGTATCTTTCTCCGTTTCCCTGTTTTTTTCTTCCCAGACAGCACAACTGCAGCTTGCTAAACAAAACGTCCAGGATCAGCCCGGGGTGGAAGCCCACACACAGGAGGTGCAAGAATTGAAGCACAAGTGAGTCACCGAAGCTGCGGTTGCAAATACGGGGTTTCTGAAGTTTACTCTTTCAACTGTTTAAAGCAGGGGTGTCAAATTCGCGTCATCGTGGAGTCGTCATGTGATGCATCGCGACTTTCCCCCCTTCGCTAAACCAGGTGTGGGCGTGGCCAGCGCGTGACGCATCCGGCCTGTTGGCCAAGAGTTTGACACCCCTGCTATAAAGTTTTAGCTACGTTCCCTAATAGACGACTACAGGGGTGGGCTTCAAAAATTTTGGCAAGGGGTTCTCTGCCCAGTTGCTGGGTGGGTGTGGCCATGATGGGCGTGGCCTAGTTGTCCTCCTGCACCACGGCAGGGGGAGGGGTGTTTTTGCCCTCCCCAGGCTCTGGAAGCTTTCTTTGAGCCTCTGGGATGGCGAAAATGGCCTCCCCAGGCACCGGAGGCCCTCTGGAGGCCGGAAACAGGCCTGTTTCTGGCCTTCCTGAACTTCTGGTAGGCCTGTTTTTCGCCCTCTCCGAGCCTCAGCACACGCCCTGCACTTATCTGCATCCAAAACAGGCTGTGTGGGGACTCCTGGGAGGGGCGGGGTGGGCGGGGCCAGCCAAGAATGGGATTTGGGGGTTCTCCAAACTGCACAGAATCTTAGTTAGAGGTTCTCGCGAACCCCTAGCAGCCCACCCCTCGGACCACTACTTGTTACAGTAAGTTGTGTGTTGTGGTGTTGTATATTTGTAAAGGATGGATGTACAACTCAGTTTGGACTTAAGGTTGGATCCAGAGGTGGGTTTCAGCAGGTTCTGACCAGTTCTGGAGAGCCGGTAGCAGAAATTTGCCTCCACTGAAGGGAACACAGTATTTTCATGACACAAGAGATTCCACTGATT